AGTATTAAAGTGTGTTCACCCCTCTGTGTGTGTGTGTGTGTGTGTGTGTGTGAGAGGGGCAGAGAGAGAGAGAGAGAGAGAGAGAGAGAGAGAGAGAGAGCTCTCATTGAAGGACAAATACCAGACATTGTAATGTGCTCAAGTTTGAATATCATTTTCCCCAGTCGCGATTAGAGCCAATCCACAGATGAGTGGAGAGGAGGATAGGAGGGGAGGAGATGAGCTGTAATGGGTTTGGATCTGGGCCCTTGTCCAAAACATTGCATGGTTGAGGGGTAATAGAGAAGGAGTCCTGAGAGAAAGCATGCTTAGCATGGATGTACACCAAACGCTCTCACTCTCCCTCCTTCTCATTTTGCTCTTCATATCAAAGAGAAACAGAAGGGAAGAAAGTGATGCATCAGCTACTTCAGTGATATCATGGAGGTATTTTACATTAGGGATCTGAGTGTCTTATAAAAAACATATACGGACACTGTCTGAATAGTTCACTTGCGTCATCCTCATTTGAATTACTACATTCATTGCATTTGGTAAAGACAATAGTTTTAGCTTACTTTCCAGAATTGCCTATTTGTCTTAATCTGGTAAGGCAGTATAGCAAATTATGCAGATGTATTACGCTGCTCTTTAGAATACTGTAATTAACGGTCACTTAGTTTCTAGTTGTGTGTTTGCATTTACATTGTCGTTGCTATGAAATTTTTAATTAATCTTGACAATCAATACATCATTTTACATTTCTAATGGCGCTTTTCCACTGCATGGTATGGCTCGGTACCGTTCACTTTTGGGGGGTTTTCCACTGGGTACAGTACCTGGTACTTGGTACTTTTTTTTAGTACCACCTCGGTTGAGGTTCCAAGTGAACCGTATCATTACAAAACGTGACGTGTAAACTCTGCTGATCACGGATTGGCCGGAGAGAATCGTCACTACTGCGTCATTGAACTTGCGACACAAACACAACAGAAACGCTAGATTTAAATCAGCACAGCCAGCGAAGGATCGAACGCAACTGTTTTGAACAAGTGCACCTTTTTTAACAACCAAAAAGTGGCTGTTTCATTGTCTGTTGAGGAAGTACAGACGTTTCTCTCGTTGATAGCAGAGGAGCGGATCCAGCGATAGCTTGATGGGGCGACGCGGAATGAAAAATTTAGTTTTTCAGGAGTCGCGGCAATAGAGGCGGCGCAACTATAATGACATGTGAATAATCCCGCCCACTCTAAAGCGGTACTGAACTGCAGTGGAAACGCGAGCCGTGCCGTGTCGTACCGTACTGAGCCGTGCCGAGCCGAGTCGTACCACGCAGTGGAAAAGCGCCGTAATATGTCACAGAGGGAGTCCCACCTCCCAGTGTCATATTTGAACACAATTTTTCTATTAGTAGCAGAACAAAAAACAGCCATTAATTGTGTTGACAGATGAAAGATGAGGGCAATAAGTACAAAATTATGACACAAATTGTATGTAATAGTCATTATTTATTTATAATAATAATAAACAACAATCTTATAAGAATAAATTATGTTTATAAGGGAAACGCTAAGCAGATGTAGCCTTTAGCATTGTATGGTATGCTATAAATAAGAACAATAGGCTATACCAGTGTTAAATGGGATCAAATTAGTAATTATGATTGAGAAACAACAACCGCAAAAACTGTGTGTGGCTGTGTGTGGTTATCACGCAATGTAGCAGCTTAGCATGTAGCATATTAGCATAGTGTGTCAGAAACAACAAAATTTCGAACTCTCAATGGTGGCCTTCATTTTTTTTTTCTTTGCAAAGGTGTGATCAAAATGCACACTTCCTCTTTGTTCTACAAGTTCTTTTGTACTTTTCTGCTCTACATTAATCAAAGAGATTGATGCACTCTATTTGTCAACACAAACACAGATGCTTCTAAGATACACTCAGAAAAATCAAAGGACTCAAGTCAATTTTATGCAGATAGTCATTCTTCTGAGGTAATTCTACTCTCATGTGAAGTGTCGTTTGGGCTGCTTTTGAGCTAACGGCCCTCTTTCCTCCTCATTTACATGCCTCATCTTTTATCAAATGCTCCCGATCTCAGCGTTTATCCGCCTGCTGTTTGAACACGAGTTAGACTGAGGGAATTCGAACACTTGATAGTCAAGAGTACGGCTAAATATTCTCATCAAGTAGTTTGAGCAGAAAGATGGGGGATGGAATTAGCTGAAGGAGTGAAAGAGAGAAGGATAAACGGGATAAAGACCTTGAGGCGCTGAAGATGTTCAGCTGTGTTTTTTGAATCATGGAAAGAGGGGAGTTCCAGACAAAAGAGAAATGTAGCAGACGGACGATAGCAGGTGGTTAGAGGGGAAAAAATATTTATGAGGGAGAGTGAAAGCGAGTGATAAATTGATATGGAATGCAAAAGCAGAATGTGACCTGTGGAGATAAATTATGAATAAGTGATGGAAACCAAGCTTGGGTGTTTTTTTTAAGCAGTCTGGCTTGATGAACAGGTCGCAGGCTGTGTAGGTCGGTCTACAGACCCTCATCTGCATTCTCACTGGCATTCCCAACAATTAAGCCCTTAATTACCCCGGAATTCTAAAGAGGAGCTGTGCTTTCCTTTGATTGAGTAGATTCAGAGACACTCTGTCAACCATATGTCTTTTTCCTTTCTCTGTTTGTCAGGCTCTTTCTTTGTATGCCTGTCCCACTCCCGTGTTGGGGATTAACAGTAGCAGATACTAACTTAGCAACGTGTTCCAGTAGCAAGACAGTAGTCAAGTTTATTTCACAATAGTGTAGATTTTACAGTGACAAGCTACTTTTCCCAACAAGTTGCAGTGTAGATTACACAAATCTCAAAAATGGGGATAATGTTTACCAGTATTCAAATAACTGTTTAGCATTGTTTTAGCAAATTCTCATTTGATCGGGCACAATATGCACTTCTTACGAGTCAATTCCCAATAGATAAAATCAAATTCCATTTGTTTTTTTTGTTAAATATCAGCAATTACCTGTTTCAATCAGCAATCCAACACATTGCGGACAAATGGCAATTCATGTTGAATATTCTAACTAGCTTGTAGCTTAGCATGCTGCAGTTTATTTCCTTCTTTCTTTATTATCACATTGTTGTGTTTCAGTTCTTTGCACTCTCTTTTCACATATGTTCTATCATTATTTGAAGGCTCACAGATTGTTGATAGTGCGTTTACTTGGGTTAGGAGTCCTCTCTCAGATCTTTGGCCTCCAGTCAGGGGCCCTGCCGTTGTTGTAACTGGCATGTAATTAGGAGAGAGTGGTTTTTAAAGAAGGCTTACATGCTCAAAAGGATTTGAACGATGGCTTTGGCTCTGCTCCGGGTTGTGCAACACCTCGGTCAGTGGCCTGACCCGATAAGATGCGAGGCTGAAAGATGGGGGAGGCTCTTGAACTCTCCATTTCATCATATGATCATATCTTCCTTTTTGTGTTCTCTTACTCTCTACATCTCTCTCTCTCTCTCTCTCTCTCTCCCGCTTGCCTTTATCTCATTCGCACTCATTTTTTGCTCATTAGTTCTAAATGCCCATCACTCATTGGACCTCTCTGTTTGCAAGACCTGCCAGAAACTCCAGTGGCTGGTGTTCTGTTATCTGGGCTGAGCCGGGTGGAAGGAGCGACAGGTGTGGTTTTCTCTAAGCCTGTGGTTGTTCGTGAAAGGTGTCTCTCTAATGAGCATCTGCACCACGAGGCCTAGAAGAGAGAAAACCTTCTTCAAAGCCAGAGAATGACAGGAGGAAGAGCAGAGGATTATGGGAAGGGGCGTCTAAATGCAAAAAATGCACTTTGTGGGTCGCATGCAGGAGGTTTGAGATGGTAAGAAAGGGAGGTTAGCTGTCATCATGACCGAATTTCTTTTGCGTCTCTCAATTTAATGTCCCACTGTGGTTGAAATTGCACACAGTCTGTCTGGATTTGGAGGCACATGGGGTTTTTCCGAGGGCTCCAAGGCTTTTTATAGCAGACGACGTACCTGTTCGAGGCAGACAGCTGGGACGGCCCTGGCCAGACGATGCTGCTCACCTGTGGGAATTCCCCTGCTACTCAGGTGTGAATTATGGAACAATTACCCAGCAGGCACTGCCCCGCTCCTCTCTGTCATTACAGCCAGCATGGGTAATAAAGCCACTTCATTCTTCCCCAGACCAGATCACAGGTGGAAAACAGCTTGCCTCCTTAGTGCCCCGCATCCGCCCCCCAAAACTCGAATTGCTTCCATGGGACGGTTAATGGCGTGAGGCGGACCGTAGTTATTTTTGGAAAGGGTGTAGACGGAGAATAGCCAGACGTTGAACTCCCACAATCCTCCGTTTGCCAAGACTGATGTACTTGCTTAGCTGTCATTGACGGAGAAATTCTCCCGCAGAATGGTAGTTTAGCTCTATACAGACATTTGCAGTCAGCGACCGCTAATCTTTTGTACGGCTCTGAGAGAGGGACGTCTCGGCTGAGACGTCTCAGTCTTATCCCGAAGAATGCTGAACTTCCAGAGAAACCGGGCAAATATCTCCCTCATAAATCACAAACAGCTCCCAGACAAGAGCTTGACTCCCCTGTTGATATTTAGGGACTGGGGGAGGTGCAGTACTCCAGGGAGCAGTGAGAGATGTACTGAAAAAGAGGACTGTGGTTGATGGTAGTGATTGATAAGAAGAAGCGAGTGGAAAATAAGACGGTAGCCAGCCTAGGCCACTTCATCCTGCTCCCAGGATGCGGGTTTGAAGGCCAGAAGTGACTTATCTGGACAATTCGGTCAAGCTGGGCACAGCTGGTCTATTTATCTCCATGCTCTGAAAAATTAAGTGAACAACTGTTTCTTAAATGTTCCACTGTGTTGTGTCGTCTTGCAGGGTGGATAACCTTCTTGCGGAAATAACGTCTGGAAGATTTTCTGGTGAAACCGATTGTTTGAACACAATAAAACTGGTGGTAAACTGGTTGAAACAAACCTTTATGTAACTGTGCATGGGCAATGCTCTGTTACTGTACATTCGCATCTCCAAAGCAAAACTTACTGCTCAATTATAGATGGATTCCTAAATTATCAATATCTTAAATTAGCCTTTAAACAGGAAGCTTGGAATGATCCTTAATGCATTTACCCTCCTGTATGTTGCTATGTTTTCAGTTTTCCTGGGAGGTCCTTGGAACATTTACATGCCATGCCGCAGAGGTATGGCTGCTATGTCTGGAAGTATCTCATTAGCTTGGAGTTGGAGCCTGGAATTGGGATTTCCCTTCAGAAAATAGTAATTGGGGAAATCCATGAAGCCTTTGTTGTTTTATGTTATGTTTTCATCTCGGGGTTCACCATCCTCACCTGAGCCACCAAACACTGGTAGTTGCCGTGTTGCTAAGGATATCCACACGGCAACAGAGAGGATCCCTAGGGCATCTTGGGTGGATGGGTGGTACCATTTATCTTTAACAGGGGGAAACTGTATTATTCCAGTACCTCACCGGAATGAAGTGTGGTTCATTTTTTTCAGAGACTATTTTTAAATGTTATTAAACTTACTACTAAGTTTTTGACATAATTTACTCACCTTCATGATGTTCTAATCCTGTTTTGCTTAGTTTCTCCCTAAAACACAAACTGAGAAAATTTTATTGTAATTTAACAGAATTTTTTTTTTGAGCCAAATCAATTAATCTGTTGATTTCAGTTCAGTCTGAAAGATTTGTTCACGAATAAGTGATTTGGTTTTTGTGTTCAATTCTCTGATTCAATGATACGGTTAAAGTGGTTAATGGCTCACTGGAAGACAAATGATCTGTAAATATAGATGTAAACTTTGACATGTTTCTCACGTAAAGCTATCGTATGATTTAGGAAGTCTTGTAAAATTGTTCCAAGCTATTGTATGACTTAAGAAGTATTGGAAGTTATAGTGTACAAGTAAAAAACTGTTCATCCCATATGACCAGTGTTGAATCTCCAGATGATAACAGCTAGATGTTCAGAGTGCCTCCTAAACTTTAGATAGAGTTTTGTTGTTGGCAGATTTTAGCAGTAAACCCCCTGCTACAGTCTTTCTTGAGTCAATGCAGTGATTGAAGTGCATGAGTGTTTTAAGACTCTACAGGAGCGCTCGATTTGTTGTACTGCAAAACCACTCACAGACACTTTCTGAATTGTCTCTGGACTGTCTTCTCCACGAGAGATCGGAAGACACCCAGTGTGCTCTTTATCAGCTGGTTCTGCTCAGTTTTATGGGGAGAAATAAAACCAGATGTGAGGACATGTGGTCTGCGTGTTCCAGCTCTGCTGGTTACAAATCTATCTCTTTCCCACTCCATCTCTCTTAAAACCCTGTCTTAAATGAGAAAAGCAGCCCCTGCAGAACCCTTGGACTGGGGTTTCCTGTGCTGCATGCTCCTTTGATAGTGCACATTTGAAGAGATGCTATCCAGTTTACAGCTCTCTATATATTTTATCTTGTTTTATCTGAGAGTTTTCTGTTGTTCTTTAGTGTTGCAGGGTTTGCAAAGTTTGTGGTGCTTTTGGGGTGGACTTTTGCTCATACTCTGAATGAATTATTTTAGAAAAGTAACAGAACACTTGTCCTCCACAGTGTGTATGATTTGGACAATCAAACCTGAACACTGTCAAACTGTCCTCTCTCTATGAAGTGTTGAAAAGTCTGATTCATTGAATTGGTTTGTTTGGGCAGTTCTGAAGCTTCTGGCAGTTTTAAAGGAGTCATATGATGTTGCTAAAAAGAACATTATTTTGTGTATTTGGTGTAATGAAAAGTGTTTATGCGGTTTAAGGTTAAAAAACACATTATTTTCCACATACTGTACATTATTGTTTCTCCTCTATGCCCCGCCTTTCTGAAACACGTCAATTTTTAAAAAGCTCATCAGTCTGAAAAGTGAGGTGTGCTCTGATTGGCCAGCTATCCAGTGCGTTGTGATTGGCCGAGTACCTCAAGCGTGTGACGAAAATGTTTCGCCCCTTACCATATTGTGATGCCTTGTCCCAGCTGGAGTGACAAGACAAAAACATTAAAACCCATTATAAACTAGGAATTTGTTGCATCCAGTGGGGACATAATTACTGATTATAATGACTTATTCTGTCTTTTTACGCATTGCATCGCGCCGCGTAAACATAAAACCATGTCTGCATTTGTGATCGGAGAAATGACAAACAA